TAAGCACCAGTCCTGACCTCAGCAGCATTTTAGAGTAGAAGGCAGACACCTTTGTAGTTAGTATCAATGCCATACCTAATAAGTGTTATACAATTGTTTAAGATGTAAATGGAAGAAAAAGTAAACCATCAAAGTCATCCTAAAACAAAAAGTGATTCACGGGAAAGTTGACCGTGGAGATGGTATTTAAGTTCTTTTTTTTATTTGTAAGTATATGATTTTACCAAATGAAGACAGTGAGAAGGCAGTCTTCCAAAGAGAAGAGGAAGGTCCAAGTAAAGTCGTACTTAGGGAATTCTGAGTCCCCTAGAGAATTTGAAAAACAGGAGGTGGGGAACTGGGGCTGTAAAAGATGACATGGAAACAAAGGTAGAGGAAAGATTGTGAAGGAATGTAATTGCCAAGCAGTTTAGACCTTAATCCTGAAGAAAACAATACAATATGTAAAGCAGTCTTTAAAGGAGGGATGAGACATTAGTCCTTTATAGTAATTGTTTACTTATTTCTATTCCCCTTTCCACTATACACTCCATGAGAGCAGGATCTTGTATTGATTGGGGATGTTTCTTCAGAAACCAGAAGAGTACTTGATGCATAGTAGGCATTTAAATATGTATATCTGCTGTATCACTGAATGTTTAAAATAATGATTATACAAGCATTAACAGGTACAACCAGTAAACGATTATTGTAATACGTCAAGAGAAAACAAAGGCAGAATGTGGACAGTGATAATAGGTTTTGTATAGAATCAGCACCACTTAACAACTTATGGACTAATAAGGGTTTGATTAAGTGGGAAATCCAGTATTACAATAGGGTTTCAAACCTGGGTAATTAGATGGATGGTGGTGTCTTAACCAAAACAGAAATAGAGGAGGAAAAGAAGTTTCAAGGGAAATCTTTTTAAGTTTGTATTTGAATTCACTGAGAATAAGATTCATTTGGGACATGATCTGATAATCATCAGGCAACAGTGTTAAGAGGAAAACAATCCTCCAATTTTACTTCTTGTGAATAAAAATAATTATTTAATATATAAATTTGTTCAAATTTGTGTCATCCATATCTCTTGAATGCCTTAGAGGGATAAGAAAACTATTTCATTTATTATGAAATCCATTTGAGATTATAATTATAATTCACTATCAGTACAGCAGAAACAGGGAGTAGAAATAAATTAAATAACTGGCTCAAAAAGTCCTGAATTACAACTTGGGAGGAAGAAAATACAGGCAACCTGTCAATTCAAATTATTGCCATAAATTTCGTTACCTATTAGACAAAATATAGACGTGTTATAACATTAAATAAACTAGATTGATTTAAATCTGTGATAGAGTTTGGGGGTTGTTGAGATTTGTTTGGGTTCTTGATATGACTGACTACACGTTAGAAATTGCCAAACTGATAAAAACACTACATCCAGCACAAACTCATTACTTACGTGAAAATGTTGAATCTGTAATCTCCTTTCAGAGTCTTCTCTGAGGCCAAAAAAAGGTGGGCACTGTTTCACTCACAAAATATTTTCCCCAGAATTTCCCTGGAACATTTAAAGAATACCTCTCTTTTGTTTCCTTTAACAACACAAGAATAGCCTTATCATTATCTGTTTTCTCAATACCTATATCAAAATCATCGTAAGTATTGAGAAGCTGCAAATTTGAAAAAGATTCATTTGTTAATAGTCTATAAAAGTCTCAGTTAAAGAAAATTTTTGTTCTCTATAACAGAAAAAGATGATATGGCATTTTGTGATTCATTGCATTCAGAATATAAGTGATTTCTTATCGAATCTTGATTCTAATGCAGTTTAAAATATCCATAACAATATCTGGGCTATTCATGAAGGAAAACCAAAGAACTTCACTTTTCGTGTGACTTGTAAAAGTATTTCTGAAGATCTCTTCAACTGATGAGGCTTCTAAGAAAGATCTGGGGATTTTGAGACTTGACTAACATTTAAGAATCCTGGAGCTTGTCCACTGACTCCAGTACAATGCAAATACTAGGCTAATCCTGTGACATGAGGCACTTAGGGTAACTGGCTAAAACTGTAAAAATGGAAATAAGCTGAAATATTTTGAAAATATAAAAAAAAGAGAATCACATCCAAATGTATTTTCTAAGAGCAAAAGTACAATATATAATTTTTACATATTTAAAAATAACACAGAAAAAGCACTGTTACCAATGGACTTCTCACACCTAACCACATATTTGAAGAATATCACCCTAACTTTCATAATTTCCCTCATACCTATCTACTTTCTTGATTATAAAATGTAATCATGGACTGTAAGCTTGTAATCTTCACAGTGTATCTAACTTCCCTGTAGAAAACCACTAGGAAACAAATTACAGGTTAGATACCAGCGATATTCCAAAAAAAATAACTCCTTAGTTTAATAACACTTGCTTTCAAATGATGCTACTGAACAAAATACAAAAGACTCAGAGCTCAGGCGTGAAACTTTTAATTTACAGGTAACTGGGGGAGTCTTCCTTTGACTCTTTACTATCTTTAATGAGAAGATGAAACTTCTCACTGATGAATTTTAAGATTGTATAAAGTATCTCCCAAAGAGATACAGATAGCACTAATTTCAAAGTACTTTGTATTCACATAGATTAGAATCTTGCTGAAGTACTTCAGTGTTACTCTCTTAGGAATTGTGAAACTGATGAGAAAAATCAACTTGTTTCTATGAAGCACCTACTCTGCTCAGCTCTATGGGAGATGACCTTGAGAAACCCAGTGAATGGGGATACAAAGCATCTGTGGGAAGATGAGGGAAAAAAACAACCTAATACAAAACCAGGCACACATTTCATAATGCAGACAATAGATGTGATGGGAGTGCAATCATAGGAAATGGCTGTGGGAGACTTTCGTGGAGGAGGTGCAGTGTATAAATTCTAGGGAGATGTGAGTGTGATTAGGGAAAGAAGCTAGTTGCGAGATAATCCTGGCAGGGGAATACCAAAAGGAAAGGCAGAAGGAGACAGGATTGAATAAGTATAGGTGATAATGACAGTTGATGAGGCAGTAGATGATAAGGTTAGTTAGGAGAGAAGAGGTCCATCACTGGAGAGGATTGCCTAACAGCATGGGCCTCACAGTTCTTATCTATAAATCATGTCTGAGAGGCACCTTTGGCATAAAGGTTAAGAGCTTAAACTCTGAGACAGACTGCTTGATATGGCCACTTAGTAGCCATTTGATTTGGGGCGAGTAGTTTGATTTACTATGCCTCAATTTCTCTATCTGTGTAACAGGGATAATAATAGTATTCCTAGGGAATGTCAGGGTTTTTTTTTAATATATTTTTATTTATTTTAAAATATATTTTTAGAAAACTAGATTTGTTTCTCTGACAGCAATGGTCAAGATAGATTGAAAAGGTGTGATTATGAAAGAACCTGGGCAGTCATCGTAATAACCCAAATTTTCCCCTTAACATCCATAATCCATTATCATTCAAACTGGAAGAGTGGACTCATAATTTTTAGTTTTCCCTACCTTGCTAACCAAGCATTTGCATCAAGCTCCTGTCTGCAAGCTCTCTGAAACCCATGGCCAAATAAAAGATTTCATGACAAACTTCCAGATTTAAAACCCGGATCTTCTAGATCCCTGCCTACAGTAGTGCTGACAGTTCCTTAGACCTCAATATTTTCTGATATAGTTTTTTCTTATCTGTATTTGGGTGAAATTAATGACTTTTAGGAACATTATAGAAATCTGCCAAAATGGAAAACTTCTTTGGGTTCTAATTCTATGCATGATAAATTGGGAACTTTATTGCTACATTTAACCTTTACCACATCTTTCTTTAAAATACAGATTCAAATGTAAAATCTAGCATTTGCAGACATTGTACTAATTTGTTCCAGTCACCCTTTGTAACCCTCAAGGCTTTGGGCTCATAAAAGGGACATGAATTACAATATGAGATCTAATATTTCCATCACTGGTACACATAATTTCTTTCCAGATCTTCTTTGTGCTCATGAGGAAAAACTCTGTGCACAGTGCAGATTGAATTGCTAAAAATTCCAATGAGAAGCGAGAAATATAGAAGTAAAAAGTAAATATGTCATACATGTTTATTTCAGGTAAATATCATTTTCCCTCCCTAAAATGACTTTATCTTTTAAACTCGGGCAATTGAGCAGAACAAATAGATTCTTTTCTTTGAAACAAATCAGTTACTTATGTCAAATATTCTATCTAATAGAGGTGTATTGGGAACTGTAACAATTGCAAATAGATATGATAAAAAAGAAATAAATGATGTTCAGTTTCTGATTTTAGCTTCTGCACTAGACTATGAAATCAGAAGTTACTTATTTTTCATGTACTGCCATCATTGTTCTGTTGATCTAATCTATGTCCAATAAAGAGATGATCAAGAACTACTACAGGTCCCACCAACTTTGTAGCATTCATCAATCTACTGACGTTTTTCTACTTAAAAGCCCTTAAAAGTAGACTATGACTGATGGTTTATAATTTCTTAAAGAGGATTCATGAATTTCTCCTTTCTGCTTTGCCTTAGGAATATTTCAGAAATGCCCGGTCTAATGTAATTCAGCCATAATAACTGCATCACTGGAGAAGTACCACAACTGCCAAAGCAGCTACAGTAAATGCTTAAACCCTGACTTTAGCTTGTTGATTGCCTTTTAAGGAAAAGCTCAGGACAAAAAGAACATAATCTGAACAAGTGATTGCAGGGCTTTAGAAAAGGAAGTGCTTAATTACTTAGTAATTCATATTGTAATTCATGTTCTTTTTATGAACTCAAAGGAAATAATGCTATAAAGAAACGGAGAAATGTGTATGTTTAATGTGTTTATAGAAGCGTGTTGGAAAATGAAGTTCCTATTAATAAAATACAAATAATTTAGCTGCCACAGCTGGAAATCTCTAACTGCAGCACATATTTCTGTAACTGCTGTAATTCTTATGTGTTCTCTTGCTCTCTTTGCAGGCAGACCAGTAATGATTGTGGTGGAATATATGGAGAATGGATCCCTGGACTCCTTTTTACGGGTGAGGTGTTCTTTTCTGATGGCATTTAAATAAGCTATTCTGAGTTCTATATTTAAAACATTTATCATAAATTAATTTTTGCATAATGTTATTCATGGATTTTTCCATGAAGAATAGCAGGATTTTCTCTAGGGTGTGTTTCTCTGATACTGTGATACATTAGAGTGTTACTAAGAGGATGGGGGGAATATATACACATGAGAATATAATTGATTTCTCCTATAAATTCACTTGCCATATTAATATATACATATTTCAAATGATGTTATAAAGAAAGAGATTAAATGAAATTCAGTAGCTTCACATAGCCTGTGTGAAGCAACTGAGTTTCATTTTGCTTTATCACATTTAACTATTTAGTAGGATATTTTATGCATTATCTATAATCTGAACCCTTTAAATTGATGTATATTTACCAATAATGACTCAAGTTCATATCAGAAAATGGATTTTATCAGCTTTGTCCTTCTTAAGTTCGTTGGCTGACTATTTAGAAAACAAAAAGAGAAAGAATGAAACTGGCTGAGATTCGTTTTAGAACAAAAATTTTTAAAGCACTCTTTTTAAGTGACTTATCCTTGAAAGTACGGTATATACAAAAATCATTTGTTTTATATAGTGGTACAGAATAACACAGCTGAGAAGTTACCATGAAGTTATAATTCAAAATGTGTTTATAATATTTTTAACATTTAAAAAGCCGATGTATGCTACAAAAATATTCATTGATATTGGAAAAAACAGAAATATTAGAAAAGTCACTAGAGTATTTTGCATCCCCAGCAGAGGTCACATATGTGCATGTCACTGTATTCCTTAATATATATTTACCTACAGAGACATAGCCAATTTTCTTACTTATAAAATGACTGGACTTTTGCTATTTGAAATGTGTTATATGTTTTTCTTCATTTTTTATGGGAATAAACAATCTCAAGCATTCTTTCTTCACTTCATTTTTTGCTCAGTGTTATTTGGACAAGTTCTGTGTGCATCTTACCTCTCTCCCTTGATCTCATTTTCGTTTATTTTTCTTGATCCCATGCCCTCTTCTTCCATCTGCTCTCAATATTAGCAGTGATAATATATTTATACTGTGTCTGGACTTGATGTCCAGATTCAATGCCAGAAGCTGAATTCAGCAAAATTGTCGAGTTATTATCGAGCAGTACTCTTCACAGAATGCATACCCTCAACCAAGTATGCTCTTTAAGGCAAAATGAAATTCATAGGTGTTTAGGGACGTGAACTATTTGTTCTTTTCTGTAGCCATTCTCAGAATGTTATTTTATAGCTTGTATCCATTTCTCCTGTAAATGTGCTAAATTACTTTAGGATAATTTTTTAGGACCACCTATAGTACTTGAAATGCATATATACTTATGCCCTCCCATTATGTTTATCCAGAAACTAATTTTTATCAGATACATATCAAAATGACTTATTATCTAATGGCGCTTCAGATAGGATTTTTTATCTACTATATCCTAGAGCTGAATATAATGGCAAATAATGTAACAAGACACTCATTTAAATTGCTGCTGAAAAATGGGTCAAATGACTGCCACGAGCAAATTAGGAGAGAAATGTTAGCTTCAGATATACTTTTTATCCTGCTGAATCATCGATCAATTAAAACATGTTATAAAGAAAAGATAATATAAGTAAAATATTTACTTAAAAACATCCTACTACATGTTTATAAGTGGTATGTTTCATGATCTAAGATTTAAAAACTAATATTTTTCAGCTCTTATGCACCACGTAGGTTAGACACAATACAATCTGGGAAAGAATAAATGTTCAAATAATGGTGGCTACCACTACTAATACTATGAGAATCTTAACATATATTATCTCAGTTCGTCTTGGCTCTGCCACTTACTGGCTGTGTGACCTTGTGACTTGAGCAAGTGACTAACTTCTCTGTGCCTCTGTTTATTCATCTATAAAGTGGGAATATTAACTGTATCCACCTCATACAATTGTTATAAGGATTGAGTTGATTATTGTAAAGCATATAGAATAATGGCTGACACATTGTAAAGGGTGGAGCGAGGATTGAAACTCAAGTCTCTGAACGCAAAAGCCATGTTCTCATACACTTTGAATTCTATCTTTTTATTAAATTACTTATGACTTCTTATAAGTCCACTACCATCTTCCCATGGGGTCTTGGGTCCCCTCCTCACATAGAATTTCTATTAAAATAAAAATCATATGAATGGGATAAAAAAACATAGGGCCAATACTCCCTTTTTACTCTTCTATAGGATTCTTACTTTCTTTGTAATCATATCTCTTATATCCCAGAAGCTCAAAGTGCTTTATAAACTTTAGGTCAATAGCAGATATTCAACTCCCCACGGCAAGCAGAAATAAAATATATAAATATATATATCCCACAAATTCTTAAAAGCGAAGTCATTTTTCAAACTACTGCTTCAGAATTTGATAATCGCAGCTTCTGTTAGCACAGAGAGGAGGAAGTGGCTAAGTGCACGGCACAGTAGGGGAGCCATCCATGGCTCATTAATAGCGTTCTGTGCTTACTGGAGCTGGAAAAGATTTCCCTTGGTCTCCCACACTACTTGAAAATCACTTCAATTCACTGTTCTATATGACAGAGTGGTAGCAAACGAAGTACAAGATTACAATCAAGTGCCAGCAGCAGTGGCTGGCTGGCTGTGATATTGCACCAAATTCGTAAATCTACTGTTTGGATCCTTGCGGACATTCCTCCAGATATATATTAGCAGGGAGAGTGTGGCGTGGTTAAGTATGTGTGTGTGTAAGTGTGTATGTGTGTGTATATGTGCACGTACGTGTGGAAAAAGGGAGTGGGTAGGTACATAAATATGTATGTGTTTTAAATTTTAAAATAAAATGCAACCTGACTTAGCAAGCGGAGCATCAGCCTAACTGCCCAGAAGATATGACCTCACTGATGTGCAGGTTTTCCTAACTTTTCCAAGGAAGTACACTAGTGTGAATGAATGCAATCTTGACCATTATCCCTGTACAGTCTCTCTCCATCTATACATATGGATTTCATAAACACTTTTTGTGGCGGCACTTACCTGGCATCTGCTTATCCCTAAATCTTTGGACCTCCATTTTTATAATATTAACTAGCAATCCAAATAAAAATAGTTATAAATTACTTTAAAAATTTGAGATATCATGTGTCAAGCACAAACAATTTATTCCTTTATTTTATAACATTTGTTGAATGTGGATTTGTTTATTATATCACAAAACTCAGTTATACAAAAATACAACACCACTGGTTTCAGTTCAAGAGGGTATATTGTGTTCAGCATCCTGCTCCCATCTCAAAACCTTTTTTTTTTTTTTTTTTTTGCGGTACGTGGGCCTCTCACTGTTGTGGCCTCTCCTGTTGCGGAGCACAGGCTCCAGACGCGCAGGCTCAGCGGCCATGGCTCATGGGCCCAGCCGCCCTGCGGCATGTGGGATCTTCCCAGACCGGGGCACGAACCCGTGTCCCCTGCATCGGCAGGCGGACTCCCAACCACTGCGCCACCAGGGAAGGGAAGCCCTCTAAACCTTTGACATAAGAGAAAAAGATATACGTGCATTACTTATAAAGCACAATCACATAAGCAAGTGAGAAAGTGTCATCCAGAAATAATAACAAGAAATACATTGGAGAAATTAATAAAGACAAAAAGCAAACAGAATCAGATTGTGTAAGGAAACTGCCAACAGAATCAGATTGAGTAAGGAAACCATAGCCAAAAACACACTCAGGAAAGGATGTTTGAGAGCAAGAGGAATATGTGGAAGGTAGTGCTACCAACTGAAATAAAGATACAGAGGAGGAAAAGGATGGGCTGGTCATTGGAAGAAGATGGTGAGTTTAATTGGGGTCTTGTTACCTTTGAGATACCTATGGAACATGCGGTGAAAGTGTCCAGACAAAATTAGAAAGATATATCTGAAACACAACAGGAAAATTTGACTAAAGTTAAAGATTTGGGAGTCAGTAGAATAAAAGTGGTTATTAAACCCAAACCATGATATTTTCCAGGAAGAAATGTTAGACAAAGGAAAGGAGTTGAACAAGGTTGGAACTCTGTGGCATACCAACCTGAAGAAGCGGCACGGATGGCATCTCCATCCATGAGAGGTGAAAAGACAAGCAAGGGGGGAGAGGAGGCCATGGCATCCCAAACCTAAGAGAATAGAGCGTTTCAGGCAGGAGCAAACAAGCAATTGTATTAAATGCAGCAGAGAAATTCTGGAAGACAGAGACTATGACATCTATATGATATCTATGACTAAGGCAGAGACTAGACATCTATGGCATTTGACACTTAAGTGGCCCTCCAAGATCTCAACAAGAGCAGTTTTAATGGGTGGGGCCCAGGCAGAAGCCAGACTGTAGAGGGCAAAATGAGACTAAAATATAAATAGAATTGGCAGGTGGAGACGAATTTTTAGGGGAAAAGCGGGTGAGATGGCAAGGCAAGAGATAAATCAGATGCTAGTAGACCAAAAGAAAAATCAAGGGCATTTTTAAAGATAGAAAATAATTTAGACAATTTATACACTGAGGGCTAGGAAATCAAAGAAAATACTGTTAAACTGGTAAGGCAAAATATCTCAGGAGATGGGAAGGTACAAAATCAAGGACCCTGGTGAAGGATTAACTTTGAGTAGCAGAAGCCTCCACATTTTCCAAGACTTGAAGGAGCTGTGTGTTGTGGATCTAGAAGGATTTATGAGGAACATGCATTAAATTTAAGAAAATGATACCTCATGCTATTGTATTTCTATGCAAAGTAGGAAGAAAGTTTATGTGGGAGTTTGAGGACAAATCTTCATTGAAGGTGAATGCTTAGAGTAATTGCTGAAGTTAAAAAGATAAATTGCTGATGAGAACAAAAAACAACAAAAAAAACAGGACCATCAGAATCAGGTTCTACTCCAAGAACACAGAGTTTTCAGGACCCCTGCAAGGGTAACCAGCTAAAAAT